AGCCTCCATAAATTTCTCTCAGCATCAAACAAAAATTTCATTATTCTGTGTGATTTCTTTTTTTATCATAAGGAATTGATTGTGTCTTCTAGGCTATGTTTTTGGGGATGCTCCACTGTCTGAATTCCACTTTCACTCTCCGCACATGAGCTGGTGAAAACCTAACTGCCCCAGATCTCATGTCAGATCTCAGATCTGTCCTCTTCCACTTCAGCTTCTGCACATCCCACTGTAATGACTTCACAAGGAACAGTTTCATTCATAATCAGAATGTTCCCTTCTCACTTTTATAAATGTTGTACCAAGAGCTCTGGCTTCACCCAGATGTTCGATGCAGTTGAGTAATTCAGCTAAGTAATTAACATGGATTGCTTTATCAAATCTTTCCCCTTTGGTTATATATGGATGCTTACCATTTTGTTATCATACAGTATTTTGTCTCTTCTCATGAAAGTGCTCCATTTTCTTCAATTTGAAACAAATTTGAAAATGCCCAGGTTTCTTTTAGTTACATTAGTGTATTAGATTAATTTAGTGGTAGATTAGCATGCTGGCTAAAAGCATGCAAAAGAAATAGATAATAAAAGGAGTTTTTATTAGAACATTAGTTTTCTAGAGAAAAAAAGTATATTCAGCTATCACCAGGGAGGAGGGCCATACATGTGTATGTACACACACTGCTTGTCTCATACTAGTTCTGTGGCTTTAGGCAAGTTAGCTGATCTTTTTGTTTCTTTTTTCCTCATTGAAGAAACAGTTACCATGACTTGTTCTGTCTTTTGAACAGAACTGCTGTAAAATCAAGATAGTCATTTTCCTGAAGTGTGGTACAGATAATAAATACATTCAAACATGCAGTGAAAGTCTCTTCAAATGTCTTAAACATGCTAGGTGACTTTTCAAGAAATACAGGAACAGAGGAACCCATGAGAGATGTGTATATCATAATCCGGTTTCCCAGCTCCTCGTAAAACAAGAGAATAGCTCGAGGATCTTGCTTCTGGTTGGGAGACTCGCATCTTACCAGCCACTTCCCGCTTCCCACATCCTAGTCACTTCACCAAGGTGCACATCAGTGGTTATATTAACAATTCCACACGGTAGTTCCCCACGGTAGTCCCCCTTTGTTCACGGTTTTCCTCCCTGGTTTCAGTTACCCATGGTTGATTGTGGTCCAAAATTACTAACACAGTAAGATATTTTGATAGAGACCACATTCACGTAACTGTTGCAGCCTATTTTATTACTCTATCCTTAGTAATTGTAAATCTCTTACTGTGCCTGGTTTATAAATTAAACTGTTATAGGTGTGTGTGTGTATAGAAAATAAATGTATACATAGGGTTCAACACTCGCCATGGTTTCAGGCACCCTCTGGAGTGCTCGGAACCTTCCTTGTGGCTGAGAGGGCCAGTTGAGTTTAGGGAACTTTTATCAGTTTCCCCAAAACTCCTGAGCTCATTGGCATTCTGCCCCATTTCCTCCCCCCAGAGCCTCTTAACTCTAGGCACTCACCTAGCTTCTGTCTCTGTAGATGTGCCTCCTTGTGACATTTATCAGTAGATTCACACTAACTGTGGCTTTGCGTGCCCGGCGACTTTGATCTGGCACAGCTCTTTCCAGTGACACCTATGCTGGGGGACTGTCAAGAGTCAGTCCCTTTACAGCACCAAGAACACAGCATTGCGTGGGTCCACCTGATTTTCTGTATCCATCCATCAGCTGATAGACATTTAAGTTGTTTCCCCTTCTCACCTGGTGTGAATAATGCCACTGTGAACATCGGTGTGTTGTTATGTGTTTTCATTTCTCTTGAGTCTGTACCTAGGAATAGAATTGCTGGATTTTGTGGTAACTCTTCAGTATATTGAGAAACTGCCAGACTCTCTTCAAAGCAACTATGTTTCTGTATCCTTAACCAGCAATACCAGTTTCCCCAATCCTCAGCAACATTCATCTTATCTTTATTACAGCCACTGTAGGTATGAAGTTGGGGTCTTATTGTGGCTTCCATTTGTATTCGCTGAATAATGATTTTGAACATTTTTTCATGTCCTCACTGGTCATTTGTTACTTCTGTTATGCTTGGGAAAAGGTCTGTTGAAATGCTTGCTTAGTTTTTAATTCGGTTATTTTTTATTATTAAGCTTGTAAGGGTTCTTTATGCTTATATACAGATACATAGGTACTGTATCAGATACATGATTTGCATATGTTTTTCTCATTTTCTGGGTTATTTCTTTCACTGGTATTCTTTGAAACACAGGGTTGACAAATTCCAGTACAACTATTTTTTCTTGTGTTGTTTGTGCTTTTGGTGTTGCCTAATCCAGAGTTACAAAGATGTATTCCTGTTTTCTTCTAAGAGCTCTATAGCTGTAGCTATTCCATTTAGATCACAGCTCTGTGATTCATTGGGAGCCAACTTGTGTAAATGGCGTGATGCAGAGTACTTGTATTTTCATTCTTTGTGTGGCTATCCACTTGCGCCAGCGTCATTTGTTGAAGAGACTATTCTTTCCCTCATTGAATTATCTCGGTGCCTTAGTCATGTTAGTATCTGTAATGCTGTATACTATAAGCTTATACAGAGATGTCCACCAGCTAGATCTCAGTAAAGCTGGAGAAAAACTAGTAAATAGCTCTGAGTTCACAAACAATCTTGTTGAACTCTCTTTTTATCTATCCTCATGCTAGCACCATGCTGTCTTATTATAACATTGTAATGTATCTTGAAGTAACTGAGTCTTCCCACTTTCAAGATTGTTTTGGGAATCTGAGTTCCTTGAATTTCCATATAAATTTTAGGATTGGCTTGTCCATTTCTGCCCCAAGGCCCAAAAAACCCCACAAACAAACAAGGACTTAGATAGTTTTTTGCATTGAATGATTAAATAAAATGGGGAAGTTTTTTATCTTAAACATACTATCTTCTAATCTATGAACATGGGGTATTTTTCCATTTAGAAGGCCTTCTTTAATATCTTTGAACAATGTTTAGATTGTCAAGGTACAAATTTTGTGCTTTATTTTATTAAGCTTATGACAAAATATTTTCTTACTGGGTTAGTTGGGTTTTTTTTTGTTTTGTTTTGTTTTGTGGTAACATTGGTTTACATCACTATATGTGATTCTTGGGAATAGATTCGCACATCTGCAGAGGTCTGTGATCAGATCACACCCATGAGTCTGTGTTCACATTTCTAGGGATGGTTCTGGTTTCTCTTACAGCCTTTATGAATGGGCTTGTTTTTTTGTTTTTGTGTTTTTCATTTACAGATTATCCATTGCTGGTGTATAGAAATACAACTTATTTGATTGCAGTGCCCTGAAATCTTGCTGAATTTGCTTATTAATTCTGATAGGGGTTTTTTTTGGTAGATACTTTAGAATTTTTACAGCATGTGAGATCTTCTGTAACTAAGATTGTTTCACTTTCTCCTCTCCAATTTGGAGGGCTTTTCTTTGTCTAGCTGTCCTAGCTAGAACCACTAGTACAGCGTTGAAGTGGTGAGATTGTCAACATTATCTTGTTGAGTTCTTCCAGGGAAAGCAATCAGACTCTATGGTTAAATATGATGTAGGCTGGGCCCTCCTTGGTGGTGCAGTGGGTTAAAGCACAGCACTGGGAAGCTAAAGCCACTTCAGCATGAGTTCAATCCCAGCCCCGGAGGTGACCCACAAGGTGCGGCAGACCTCTCCTGGCCTGCCTGCTGCTCCCCTCAGCAGTGTACTTCATCGATCTGCCTGTTCTGCTCCCTACTCTGTCTCTGGTGAATCCTCTCACTGCATCTACACCTCTAGCCTGTACCTCAGTTCTGTATGCATAAATAAATCTTTAAGAAATTATATGTTGTAGGCTGTGATTTTTTTTAATGGATTCCCATCAAGTGATTTTTTTTTGATAGATTCCCATTGAAGTTCCTCCTATTCCTAGCTAATTGAACGTTTTTTATTGTGGAAGGGTATTGGATTCTGTCAAATGTATTTTTCTGAGTCTGCTAAAATAGTCATGTGGCTTTTTTCCCTTATGAGCCTGCCTTATTACATTCTAGGGTTTTGGCTATTAAACTAGCCTTTCAAAATTCTTGGTCATGGTATATAATCCTTTATTTGTAGCCAAAACTAAAGGATAAGGTATGAATTTAGGGAGAGTGTTTCAGGACAGGGAATTTTTTTTTTTTTTAAATTACTGATAAGATGAGAATGCTAAATACATTTTGAGTTTTGGGTCTTCATCAGAACATAACCTTGAAACACAGTGAAAGGCGCATAAAACAGTACAAGAGCAACTGTTTTTACCTCTGTCACTTGCTAAACTTGTGGTTTTGTACAGTTTGCATAGCATTTCCTTCTAAACTCAACATACAAGCATATCAGACCCTTGTGCACAGAGTTAACTGAGGTAGTATATGTAGAAGGTTGTTTTAAGGACCAAGGCTGTTAAAATCATAGGTTATTAAACCACACAGAGAAAAAAATAGGATCCTGGAAGAACAGAGCAGCACCCAACCCCTCCAAAAGACAAAATTTTTGAAGCAGAAGAAAACCTACTGTGAAGGCAGGATCATTGATTTCAGGTAGAACCATTGAACAAAATCATGCGTGTGCATTTCATGCTCAGTTGGCTGCCTTCATGTAGAGTGGGGAGCAGGATTTGGTAAAGGTAATTTTGATGCCTCTGCATAAAGAGGATAATGATGTGTTTTATATATTTTGTTTTATATACTGTGTAGATAGTATTTTGCATATTTTACTTTGCTTTATTATTCCTGCCTAAAGAATTATCATTTAGGGAACTTTGTACATTCTGCTCAATTTGCTGTACACCTGAGTTTACGCTAAAAAACAAAACTTATTTGAAAAATAATATCATGTATTAAATTTCCACCAGGTTATAACCTCCCAAGCAGAATATTCTAGAGGCTGTTTAAAAGACACAAAAGCATGCCACTCAAATGTGACTTTGAATGTGTCTTGCTTGTTTTCATTCCCTTCAGAAACAAAGCCAACCTGTGTGTTCAACAACGTGGAATACAATGACGGGGACATGTTCCGAATGGACAACTGCCGGTTCTGCCGATGTCACGGAGGTGTTTCCATCTGCTTCACTGCCCAATGCGGCGAGCTGAACTGTGAGCGCTACTACATGCCCGAAGGGGAGTGCTGCCCCGTGTGTGAAGGTGCGAGAATACTCACTGAGGGGGTGGAAGAAACCGTGTGGCTCAGAGTCGTAATAAGGATTCAGTCTCACCCCAGACTAGAGGAATGTTGAGCAAGTTCCCTTTTTACAAAATTGGTTGATCTTTTGGGACTTGGGTGTGATGCCAGGTACACTGAAAATACTTCCCCAAGGGAGGTTGCCCCCTGGGTGTGGACAGATCACCTGTGTCCGCAGGTCAGCGTGAACATTGACAAGAGAGCTTGCTGTGGCCCATCTGCAGCACCTTGCCAACTAACTCCTGGGGGTGTCCTCTGCATCCTAACATTAATTCACTCCACTGTCCTGGGGCCACTCGGATCATTACAGCCTGCCCATTTTGGGCCAGAACAACCTATCGTTCACAGCCTGGATCCGTTCGGTCAGAGAGACTCTGACCTGCCCCCATCTAACATCCTGGTGGGTGTTAGAAGCTTCCCGGTGGAGTTGGAAGCTTGCTGCTCCCCTCCTTTGAAAATGTACACACATTTGGTGAGAGTGGGGTCACGGTACAGCCGGATGGGGCACCCACTTGGTGCCCAGCCCAGTGCCAGGTGTGGCCCTGGCACAAGACTCTGTAACAGTCCTGGCTCCTCCAGCAGTTCTGCCCTCATGTCCCTGCTGTTGATAGACAGGAACATTTTAGATTAACTAGAAGCCACAGCCTTCCCATTTTAAGGATCAGGAAAGTGAAGTAAAAGTGGGGTCCATGACTGAATTTGTAGTGAAGCAGGAGACCCCCCCCCCAACTCTGCCAACACACACACACACCTGTCTGGTCTGACCACACTGCACCTTCCAGCAAAGGAAGGGTGAGCTGACTTCTGAGCCCCAGACCTTCGGTCTGAAGTCAGATGTGTCAGGTTTGAGCCCTGGCCTTGGAAGGCCACGGGTCACGCCGTCTTCAGACCTTTCTCTGTTTTCCTGACACCCTTTTCTTTTTGATGCTCGAGCTATATTTGACACATAATACTGAAGGCCTGAAAATGTTTAAAGTTTAAAACAGTGTCCCTAGCATTGAACAGTTGCTCATCAAAATGAAGTCCTTTTCCCTGTTAGAAATTATTTCAGCCAACATTGGACAAAGGTCACTGAGGATTTAAAAAAAAAAATCAGACTTTTCCCCTTCCCAGCTGATGTGTTCCTCACCACCGCAGTGTGTAATCACCTCTGAAGCTGTGTAGTAGTTGGTGTAAAACAGCGATAGGGCCCTCTGTATTTTGATCATAATGAGTTGTCTGGGCACTGAGCTGGCGATGTCTCACTTCCTGGAATTCAGATCCAGGTTCAAAGTGGAAATGAAGTATGCAGTGTAATATTTTTTTACAAAGGAATTTATAAACTCTTATCTAGCTCAGGTCTCATGGCTGCTTCCATCTCTGGCCAACTGCCGTTCGAAAGCCATGACCGCATTGTTGATAAACTTGGATCCTGTGACTTTACTATAATGCCCTGTTCCCACTTTAGAGTGAGGGGAACCCAACTCAAAACTGCCTGGACTTTCCCCCAGCTACCGGCATGTGGAGGCCAGTGTTTGCTTGTTCCTGAAAAAGGAAACAGATTTATCTAGTTACTCTCCATGATGAGGATATTAGGAGATTTTTAATGCAGTGCATATGTCCTCAAAGCTTTTTTCCCAAGGGTCATGGGTCCCATCCTCGCTGCTCTTCCCACGTGAAGCATCCAGCCGGGCCCAGAAGGAATGACACTGCATTTTGGTGGAGGCATTTTTCTTACCATTTTATCGGTGGTGGCAGTGAGGAGCAATAAAACATTTAAATATTCAATTCAGCCACTCAAGCCTTTATCAGAGCCTAAAATGGACTTGCACTTCCTAAAGCCAGCCCACCCCTCCACCCGTGAAGTGTCGTCGTTTGAAGGTGTGATCTCACAGTGCCTGGGCTTTGATGCCACAGCCCTGTCCAGTCTGCTCTGTCAGGTTGGGGGGGCAACAGCTGCTGTTGCATGATCCCCTGGGGGACACCCTGTGCATCCCAAGTCCCTGCTGATCACAGCTGGAAAGAACCGCTGTTGACTGGAACCCAGGGTGACAGGTGTAGGTGCAGGCAGGGCTGGGACCCAGAATGCCACTGCCTCACTCTGAGCTCACGTTTTAATTCAGATCCAGTGTATCCTTTCAACAACCCCGCGGGCTGCTATGCCAATGGCCAGATCCGCGCCCACGGGGACCGGTGGCGGGAAGACGACTGCACCTTCTGCCAGTGCATCGGTGGCGAGCCCCACTGTGTGGCAACCGCCTGCGGACAGAGCTGCATGAACCCCGTGAAGGTGCCTGGAGAGTGTTGCCCTGTGTGTGAAGGTGAGGCCTGTACTTCTAACATGTCCCCTGCAGCATCTCACACCGGTGACTTTCTGCCAGAATGCTTTGTTTTGTGTTTTATTTCCTCAGGCATAATGCCTGCTTCATGCTGTTACCAGTCGCAGATGAATTTACTAGATTGCCAAGGCTAATCGTGTGGGGAAAATGGTGTAGGTTTCCAGTGAGAGGAGTGTGGTCTTTATTTTACCATTGCAAGTATGGTTATCTGGATAGTTTACAGTGGAAGAATGTCAGTTTGGTTTACTTCGTGGGACAGTCAGTGCGTCAAAGTAAAATTGAAATTAGGCCCCTGACTCTAGCATGCCTTGTTGAACCTTGAGGCTGCCATGAGTCCAGGAGTTCTGGCAGCTGGAGTGGAACTGGAACTCTCACGGGTGGGTGCGGCATGGAGGGCCTCACTCCAAGGTACTTTCCCTTCCTTGATCTCAATGGCTGTAGCTTTGCAGTTCCTCTCATGCTTTCCCTGTGTCTTGGCTACCTGCTCTCCTCTCCTCCTGTTCCCTTCTTGTTTAATGGAGAGGAGTCTGAGGCATCCGAAAAGCGTCTCCATGTCTGCCTTCCCCATCCTGAGAAGGTTCTTTGCACTCACTCAAGTTAGCCATACTCCTTTGTCCCTGTCTGCTAGTACGGACAGGAGATTGTGTATTTACCCGAACTGATCCTTCAGAGTCTGTCATTAAGGAGGATACTTGCAGAGTAAAAATGAATTAACATGACTCAGAAATGCCCTGCTGAAGATGAGTCCTTCCAGAATTTTTTGCAACGGCTATTAAGAAATTGACAGGTCTTCTCAGAAATTCAGTTAAGTAGACAAAGTCTTGATTCAAGAAGTCTTTGGCTTCTACCTACATTTTAATAAACTCACACTCCAGAGTTTTCCTGACTGCTTTGTTAACCTCTGAGGGGTTAGAATTATTCAAGGGCTTAGAAATCATACAAGAATCTAAGCCGGAGGACTCTGGTTCTATTGACATCAGCGATTCCTTCACCATTACTCTACTCAGCGTGCGGCTGCCACACTCCAAAATTTTATAGCTTCCAGATGACCGGTTTTGTGGCACTGACCCACCCCTCACGCACACTCCTCCCATCCCCTGAGGGCCAGCTCTCAGTGCTGGGGAAAGGAACATGGAGGTCTGTGTAATGCCTCACACTGAGGTTTTACAAGAGAGACAGCAAGGTGGGAATGTCTCTCCTTAAGAATTAGGGACAAAAGTGACATGTTTAAGCACCTAAGTGTGCATAATAATGGAAGAGAACATAAAGGAATAAGATAATAATCGAGTAAACCCTTTAACTTCGTGAGTTGCAAATCAAATAAAAAATCAGACTAAAAGAAACTAAAATTAACGGGGATGGGGAGATGGCTTTTGCTAGAGATAAATGCATTCATCTTTTGCATTCATTCGCACATCCATTACAGGAAGGGAAGCAGCTGGTGAGTGGAAATACATACACAACCTGCCGGTTCTGTTTGTCCTTTATGTCGGTGTTTGCCTAGCGAGTAGATGTGCAATTTGTCACTTAGAGTTTGATCTCGACAGTACTTGATCTAATCTTCCATTGTTTGAGGAAAAGTGAGTGTGTTAGTCAGCCGTTATGTCCAAATACAGCATCGATGTAAAGTTACATGGGCGATAACTCTCAGTGAGCCTCAGAGGAAGCATCAGGCTGCTGCGCCCTAAGCCAGGAGAAAAGGAAGGTCCAGATTCAGACGCTGCTGTGGGCCAAATACTGCACTGAAGATTTAACAGCTACATCACTTCCTACACAACCGTGGCCCTTCTGCAATGGGACTAGGAGAAAATGAAGTCTGTCCCACCTGGGTACATGTTAGGTTGCTTCTCCTGCTCCCGTTCCCAAATGCCATTTGTTTCCCCACACCCGTTTCCAGTTCCTTAGTAAGTTCTCGTCCTTTCTGGCTTTTGGCCCTGATAGGGAGAGACAGCACTGGAATGACAGGAGGAAGTCACTTCCAGTTTGACGACGACTCCAGGGTTTGGATGTGCCCCACCAACCCTCCTGCCAGGCATGAGGAGCTCGGAGAGAGGCTGCCCTTGCATGTCTTGGGTTGGTGCCTCAGCCCTCAGGGCCAGCACCTCTCCAGAACTCAACGTTCAACCCACCTCTGTTCTATGCTCTTGGTTCCCCTCTGTCTCCTTCCTGCTCCAGGGCTGCTCTCATCAAGTCTTGCAGGAGATTCTTTCTCCTTTCAGAGAACTACTTTATCTTGTGTTTCTTGTTTGTAACTTAGTTAAATACAGAGTTTCATAGAAGAACATGTTTGTGGCCTCCAGCAGCTCTTACTTCAAGATGTAATAGGAAGACAGAAGGTTTCTTTTGGTCTGGCATCAAAACCGTACACAGCTTCAGATAACAGTATGAAAAGATGGTTAACATAATAAACTTGCCAAGAAGTCAGGTGAAAGCTGAGTTTGTAGGATCTAAAAGCCTAGGGAACTCTTTGAAAGTGTATTTCTCAACAGTATCCCATTGCATCTGCATGTGGAACTTCAGTCTCAGAACAGCAAAAGCGTTCTATGCACTGAGAAAAAAAGCAAGGTCTGGAGTGTGTATTAGACAATCTGCAGAACTATTTAGAACCAGAAACACTGGTATTTACGTAGTTTATCACTCAACTAAGCCCCTCTGCATACAGTAATGTAACACTTGCTGGCCCCCACCATTAGTAGCATCCCAGGGTACCTACTCAGCCTGAAATTAACGGGAGCCCCAGTCAGTGATTATGGCTTAGGTTCTTTCTCAACAAATCACCGCGTGTTATGCTGTTTGAGGACACTCGGCTTCCGAGTGCCAGCACACTGTTCTCAGTTACTCCCCAGGACGCGAGCCTGGGGTCCCTGATCACTCAGTTGTTACTTGACAGCTGCCTTGATTGACAAGTACTTAAGTGCTTTTTAAATCGGTACTTAAGTACTCTCATGATTAAGTCCTACCCTGATACTGTCAACACCCAGTTCAGGTACACAGATAAGCCATTCTGGTTGGTAAGTATGTAACCTGCTGGTGTTCTTAGGCTTTGCTACACTGACTTTTCATGACATGTCCTGTAATTCCACAATCTGGTTGCTCTAATTCTCTGACCGTTCTACAGAGCTAGAATGCAAAGGCATGGAAGAGCACTTGTCCTTCCCGCCTTAAAGGCTAGCAAAAGGAAGGACGGCGGAGGTGAGTGGAGTCTTTCTCGGACCCAGCCCCATTCACAGCATCTTTCTTATATAACTCTTCGTGACAGTGGCTGAGATTTCTTGCACAATTGGTATGAGTCAGCTCTGGGTGCTTTCAGGCCATCAACTCATTTGGCCTCACAAGTTCCCTTTCATGCAGGTCTGCCCTTCCAGTTTGCAACCACAGCGCCCCAAATTCAGAGGTGTTGACCTGCCCGAGGGCACGGAGCTGAGAGGGGGCAGCACTGTGTCCCCAGAGCCTGGTGCTGAGAACCAGGCACTGCACCCCTGTTGGCTGTGAGCCTGAAAGTGGCTGCACCCCTGGGAGCTAGGGGTTACGGTGGCCTTTTAAACCCTTTAGCAGCACCTGTCATGCTACCTGTTACTCAGACATTTTTAATGACTGAAGGTGAGCAACTGAGCCTGGGAAGCAGCGGAAAGACTAGAGTAGGAAGTTTCACCGCTTTCCTCCTGCTCCAGCCCGCCAAAGCAGTACTTGCAGTCACACTTAACACATGGCATTTTTGGAGTTCGACATTACTAGTTAAGTGACTTCACAAGTAAGAATCATCTTTTTAAACAGAGTGAATACTGAGAATGAGTTGCTGATTTTCTCCAAATAGCTTCAAATATAAACACCCCGAAATAGGTCCTTAATTTCACAGAATCCTGTGGGGCAGGTTGCCATTTTCCACAGTCTTATAATTAAAGGTGACATAGGGATTGGGGAGGGGAGTTTTGGCCGCAAGGTGTATGTGTGCCTTGCCCAGGATGACTCAGGGAAGAGTAATCAAGAGATGTGGACAGGTGCGAGGCTAGCTCGTGGTGACATCTGATACAAGACTGAGAATTTCCTTGTCACCTAGAAGTCTTGAAACTGAACTTGGGGCTGCCACCTCATCCTGACTTGGGGGTGTGCCCCACCCAGCTGGTCATGTACCTGTTCTTAGCTGGACCGGTGCAGAGTCTCCTGTGAGGGGAGGTGTGGCTTTGGTGATCTTGGGGATTACAGTGCCAACCCCCAAGACACTGCTTTTCAAACAGTAGGCGCTAGCTCAGTAAAATGTAAAGATAACGATCAGTATTGTGATTTGAATCCCCAATAAGTCAGTTCCAGGCTCCTGGCTGAGTGAATGGATAGTGTCTTTTTTTTTTTTTTTTTTTACTGTTTATGTCTCTGAAACTAAAAATGCATTTCCCATCGCGGATGGGAAGTCAGATAGAGTTCTGTGTACATTTTCAAAGCTGGGTAATGGGTATATGAGGATCCATCATGTCCATCTGTCTATTTCTTCTAACTTGGATTTGACCAGCTCTTGAAGGAGAGGACAAGAGATTCCCCATGCATGGATTCTTTAGAACTCTTGAATTTACAAACAGAATGTGATTGAACCAGGTAATCTACAAGCTTCCTTCCTGCCCCCTGGCTTTCTTGGATCCTTGCTTGGGGGCTCCCCCTATCTCAGGCAGTATTGAAAAGAGAGTGTTGGGCATTTCTTGACCCTGTGAACATCATAAGCCACTTCAGAATCAGTTCCTCCAATATACTGCATGTTTTATTGCTCACAAGAACTGGAGGTCTCGGAGCCGTCAAATGTATCGTCCCCTCCTCATTTTCAATTCTGATTTTATAGGCTCTCTCTATTCTTTCCCATAAATCCTGATGAGGCAATTTGTATCAAACCACCCTTCAAATTTTGTTTCTTCGGAACAGCCAGAAAAGTCTGTACCAGGCACATATCTGGGTGGAAATTCTTTGGAACAAGAAAAAAATGTTTCCAGCCCTGCCCA